AACCGACACACAAATACATGCTGAGTAAAGTTAGAACCAGCAAGCTCTACCGTAAAAAAGTTAAACTCTATGTCAGTTTGACACGAACGTCTATTACTAGCAACTCACTTCACTTGGCTTCGCTGGTTCTTCTGGTTCGTCCCTAGTGAAAAACAAAAACAAATCTATCCCACGGGAACTGTAATTTTTTTCGGGATGAAAAGAAATCTATGTGTTATTCCAGACTATAATCTATATACCAAACATCCAGACCCGCTCAGCCGTTGTGGTATGATTAAGTAACAAACATCCATCCATCCAAATTTTCGCATTTATAATATTTAGTGGATTTTAGCAAGAAAAAGGCCCTACATTCTAGAGTACATGTTTTCGTAAAAACACATGACTCAGACTGACTCACGCACGGGCACACCGCACGAATGTAAATGAACGTTCATTAAAATCACTTAACTCTGAGACAGCACTGTCTATTAAATTTTCTGTCATTGGTTACTCAATATACTTATAACACTTTATATTGTATATCCCAATTAAAAACTACAATTTTTCATCCGTGCGATTTAAGATACCTAAGAGTAGCTATAGTCTATGTGCTTTTTATCCAAATCCCTCCAACCATTTTCGGTGTGAAATAGTAACAAACATATCCACACATACACACTACTGATAGTATACCGATGGCAGCTTGAGAACGTACATGAATTCTACTACAGATATTACGAGTTCGATGCTCAATTGTATTAAGGTAAGGCATTTTTCGTGATTGACGTATTTCTTTGATAATAATATGGAAAATAAAGTTAAAAGCCTCTATAATTTTTTCTCTACATACTATGAGATACTTCAAATTATTTTTAAATAATATATTTCAAAACGCTATGTAGGTATTATATATATATATATATAATTTACTAAAGTCTGTCCAAACACGTTTTACTTTTTAAAATTCACTGTATGTAGGTATTTATTACACTGTCACTGACACTACACTAAAAGTGTAGTTCACATCGCAACTGTACTTTTTTTACGAATAAAAGTTCGAGCTAGGGATGTAAGTTTACTTTTCTATACATCTATACATAAATTATATTCATTGTGGAAGTTGATAGCTTATGAGAAACTCTTTAAATTCATTTTTATATTATAATTATATAGCCTATTGGAAAATATACCTAATAAAGCCTAAGCGTAGTCTACGGGTTTGTTTAAATTTTAAATTACGCAATTTTTTAACGTTGGAAAATGCAAGTATGCTTAGATTTGTTTATAAAAACTTTAAAAAAACCGTCTTCCAGGCACTAAAATGTAAAAAATAACTAAACGGAGGTTTTCATTTAGAATAGATACCTAATGAGATATTTTCGAAGTCGGTGCCAGCCATGCAAAGCAAATCTAATATATTTCAATACGTAAAATACATATTTACCTATTAGATATTCATCTCTTAAAATATTGTCGGCTGGCACCGACTTCGAAAATATCTGATTAGGTATCTATTCTAAATGAAAACCTCCGTTTAATTATTTTTTACATTTTAGTGCCTGGAAGTCGTTTTTTTTTTGGTTTTTATTTTTCGATTTTTAGTGTAGATATAATAAGCAGGTAATTTGTGAGCAGAAAACATATTCGATTAAACAATTTATTTAAAAAATATATTTATTGTTGATTTTTTTAAAAACCGCACGACCGATTTCAATAAAATTTATATGGGATCACCTGCAGAGTATACCCTTTGAAACACAAAAAAAAATTCCTAATTGATGTAGGAAGATTCCGATGAATTGAGAACCTCCACCTTTTTGGAAGTCGGTTAATAAATAAATAAAATATGTTGGGACATTAACGCACAGCACAATCTAATTCCATGGTAAGCTACGAGGCTTGTGTTATGGATACCAGATCGTTATACACCATATAGTGGTACTACACATTTATAACTTTAAATACATACATATTATACATACATATTACACATAAACATGAAACCCATGACTGGAGTACAAACATTCGTGCTCGTCACAGAAATATATACACCTAACGGGTCTCAAACCCGCGACCTCTGGCACAGCAAGTAGGGTTACTACAAACTGAGCCAAACGTGATTTGTTACAGTCTTTGGTCCCATGTCGGGTACATATGTGCTGTTTTAATAAAAATGCACGTAAATTTATATTAATAAGTAAAAAATACGCTTAATTTTAAAAATAGTTATTAAAAACTATAATCGCATAAGTAGTGTATTCTGTTAAGAACTAGTGACTGACCATCGGAATATTATAAATGCTAAATTTTATATGTATGTGCGTGTGTGTCTGTTACTCCATTACATTAAAACGGCTGGAACGATTTGGATGAAATTTAGTCTTGCTTTGCTTTTAGTTACCTTAGAGTCCATAAGCACAATTCCCTCAAACAGTCTAAAGGTCTTGTGTAAAAACTTTAAAACTTACTTTTGATATTTAATTAAATTAAAATCAAATATATTCCATCGATACGATGTCGGCGTCATCGCATCACTAGCCACATGCTCTCCATATGACATTGTTTGAAAATAAAAATAAAAACTCATGAGAAAGCGAAGAAAGAAGTCTATCCAGTAAGAACAAAACCATTGATAAATAGCGTACTATTAAAACTACTTGTTTGCAGTTACACTGTCTGTGTTTATGAGCATTTTGACCGACTTTGAAAATGATAATTAAATCAAGGACGAGATCTTCAAAATCGTTTTTTACGCTACAAAATGTTCATAATTAATATTATGAACATTGTGTAGCGTAAAGAACGATTTTAATATAATAATCTAACTAAATTTGCACGAAAAGTCTGCATATTTTAGTCTTTATTTCTCGATTCTTAAATGAGAGAATAAATTTTCATTACATCAATATATCGGCAATGTCGATGTGTTTCTATGAGGTGTACAACTTAGATAACGTTCTGCTAATTTGTACAATATTTTTATATTACGTGTTAAAATTTCCGTTTTAACTGAACAAAATTTTTCATGTATATATATATCTTTATACGGAGTATATCCTCTTCGTTACATATAATTTTTCATATTTAAGCCCCTCACATATGAATTTTTTCCCCAAACACATTCTAACGTGGGTTTCCATTCACTTTTCTACGCCTCTCATCATTAATCATTAGAAAGCTCTTTAGAAATGAAGCGAAAGCTTTATTTACGTCGTTCAATTACAAATTCACCTTTGTGCATAAAAATAATATCGAAATGTGAGATGAAATGAAGTAAATAGCATATAAAGGATATTTTATTTCGATATTTGACTTCTTTCCCCTTTGATAAGATGACTTTCTACAGTCTATATCGCTAGTAGAAAATCATAAATGTGTATATTGGAGTAACAACGTGATACTACATTTGAATGTGTCATTTACATATATTTTCATTTGATTTAAGCCCTTCGAGCTTTAAATTCACAATTGTTTGTATTTAATTTTTAACACGATGAATACTTAGTAATACAGTGAAGAAAAATATCGTTAGTAAACGTTTATCTGAGAAAAACTGGGTTTTAAAAGACGTGTAAAGTTCTCCAACCCGTATTCACCCAGCGTGGTGGACTATGGGGGCCTTACACATCGAGAGGAAACTAATGCCCACGATAAAAGTGCTGAATAATTAGTAACAACTAGTAGTGACTTGCCGTCACTTAGCTCGGGTGTAACCCTAGGTGCCTAACAGTAGTCCTATGTATTGCTCCTAAGGTAAGGGTAAGGGATAGACTGTGACCTACAGGTCGAAGTCTATCCCTCTCCTTCAGCGTGAAAGAGTAACATACATACACCCATACAAACTTTCGATTATGTTGTAGTATTTAACATTATTGCTTATTTATAGTAAGAAATGTACCAAGTCTTTTCTACATACAAATTAATCAAACCCCTCAACGAAGGAAACAATAACAAAAATGTAATGTTAATAGAGAAAATTACGTATCTTTATTGATTAAAGCAATAAAAACGGCCGCGAATGACATGAATAATGAATGCAGCGACGGCTCAGTCTCATTAGATTTGCTAATCTCATCCCAGCAGTGGCTCGGCTGCGACTCACACCGGAACCTCTTTCGATATTTGTTAGCTTTTCGCACAATTACATTTAGACGTAGATGGTATAAATTATAGATGAAATTCGTTTAATTAAGGTTCATTTAGTAACTTTCAATCTATATATATATATATATATATATATATATATATATATATATATATATATATATAAAATTGAAGTGTCTGTCTGTGATATCCCAATGACTATGTTTTATCAAGTAGGCTTACATAGAATTATTTATATGATACTAGTATCTAATTTTCAAAATCAATTCAAACCTTTCTCTAAAAAAATATATTAAGAAACTGAAACCTGAATAAAATTGAAGAAAGATGAACCTTACATTGTAACGAGTGAAGATTTCATACCGGAAATTATACCTAACGAGAATATTAGTAGCTGTCAACATATAGAGCGGAAGGCGATTTACGTGTGCTCTATACGAGTACGTGCGTCGTACACGTTTTGGCCTCACGTACTTTGACACATTACAGACTTGTTTCTATCAATAATTAATGAAACTTTACACTTAAAGGTTATACGAGATTAGAATTTAGAATATTATCCAATTTACATGTTATTCGAAATGATACAAACGGAAGAAATTATACATATATTAATATTCTGAGTCGAATCTGCACATTAAATATTTTTTGGAAAATCTTATCGAAATAGTCTTATTATCGATACAGAGAATCTATAGTTTTTAGAATTTTTGTTAGTTAGTCTAAACCTCATCACGTACCACCAGGGGGGAGGAGGAGTTAAAAAGTTGCTAAAACATCACGTGATTAATGGACGACCCCTAAGCTGACTTTCTTCTTTATTAGTTATATCATTCCATTACAATTTTTAGCTTACTTTATATAAAACCTTGGGTGTACATTATATTTTAAGATTTTTTAAAAAAAAAACTTACCTCGTCTCATGCCAAGACGATTTTCGAAATAGTTCATGATAAAGCCCAGCAAGGAGTCGTCCTTCTGCTTCAGACACACATCGCAGTAGTCCTTATTTACTTGCACCGGCTCTAAGTAGTCTTCTACAGCTAAATCTGGCTAGAAAAGAATTATATCAAAAAATTATATAAAACATTATAATATTATAATGGAAATGGACACGAATATTGAATGGTATACAAACAAATATAGATATTTCGACGATTTCACAAAAAAAAGCTATATGTTATAATATCGCTAATTGTAAATGATTTTCATTGTAAAAAATATTTTTTGATTTCATTTTAACAATTGGAAATCGCGAAAGAATGTTGTACGTATTATTTATTAAATGATGGTTTAATAATAATAGCCCATAATCGTAAGCAATAAGATAGCCAAATTGATTGTTTGTTTATTTATTAATGTTTAAAATAATATTTATCCTTTGTTTAAACATTATAATTCCCTGCAAATTAAAAACAGTCTAACTTTAATATTTTAACGCAATAAACGTTCCAACATTAAGCAAAATTTTAAACTTTTTATGAAATAGTTTGTTTAAAAGTTAGCTTCATTCATTACGAGCACTGCAGTGAACGCAAACATCGTGATTTAATTCAAAACACTGCATCATACACAGACTTAAAGTTCTAGATGGGCACCTCGATCCTACATAAACTTTACAATCTCTTGATCCTTAGTTCAGATGACTTTCCTCTAAAAGATATCTTACAATAAGAAACCTTTCAAAAAGTTCACTTTCGCTTCTATCAAAATCGTTAATAGCAAAATAAAGATATATGCAAATGACATTTTACAATAGGGTACTTTATCTAGCGCTAGGTACCTATGTCGTTCTCATGCATTTAATTTAGTTTTTCATTCTACGTTTATAAAATGTAGATTACTATATTGCACAGTCAGTTGGAATTTTACATTTAAAAATTTCTACATTTACTTATTTAAAAAAAATAAACACTTAATCTAAAAAAATTAATATATTTCTGAAAAAAAAATCCATCATGAATAATATAACATTTTAAGACTACATACTCGTGTTTAATGGCATTAAAATGCAAATACTTGAAGTAAAACTTATATTATACATATATTTACTTATTATAATATAATGTGTTATTCATTTAATTACTTCAATATTTATGTAAAAATAGATACATTTATTCGATAGATATATTAATTCCCGACCTTAATGACAGCCTTAGGAGGACCAAACCTCCGTAATTATTAGGCAAAATTTAAATAATTGTTTGAAATACAAAACAACAATGTACACCATAATTAAGTTTGCGGAGTCTAATTAGCGGCTGTAAGAAAAGACTTCTTTAAGCATAAACCTGAGTAATTAGATTGAGCTCTGACCTCGACTCATCTAGTCATTTAATTCTTTCAATTATTAAATTACTTGTAAATGTCACGTTGGCATTATAAAGATGATAAAATAAAATTATGATCGAAATTTCTTTTTAGCTGCTCTTTGTTTTAACAGAATAAAATTAAGATTTAAAAAGTTATGACAGAGTCTGATAGATGTACTAAAAGGAATGTTCAATTTCATTTTGCTTTGATGTATATTGCAATCATTTTGTTATTTGACGTGTGATAGCTTTTGGCTTTGTTTATATTTGTTCAGACGTTAATATCTCTATCACCTAAAACGTATAAGGAGTTGTACAAGATTTTCACACATTATGTGTAAAATATTCCACGAAAAATTGATACTAATAATTTGGACTAAAAGACAGTAGTTTTGAATTTTTTGATAATTAAAAAATATTTACCTTTTGCTTTTGCTTTTCCTTTTCAATTTCTTCGAAATCTTGCGCTACATGAATCGAATCGTACATGTCGATGGAACTGTTCTCATAGAGGTTGCCTTCTCGATCGTTCGCCACATCTTTGTACACGGGCTGTTCCTTTTGTACAATTTCAGTTTTCCTAAAAAATGGGAACTTTATAGATTGAAATAGTTCTTGTATTTTCACTATACACGGCTTTACTTGGTTCACTCGATTTTGATTCAAAGTTATTTCTTTCCCTGGCATGTCGTTATAACATAAATCTTCATAGAAATGATCTTCCTGTACTTTCTCGTTTAATTCCTCAGATACATTAACAGATTTATATTTTGGTCTGCAGTCAGGTTTTTTACACGTTTTTTGTATGTATAATTTGTTCTCTGTTTTCACAGAGTAATAGCCTCGGTCGTTGCAGTTTTCAGTCTTTGAAAACCGTGACTTTAAATCAAAGATTGGATATTCGTACGAGCTCAATCGAAAAAATTTCTTTGGCTTTTTCGATGTACCAGCAACCATAGGCACGTACGAAGTCAGTGCTCGCTCTTGTTTTTTTTGAGCGTTTCTATACAAAAAGCTTTTAGGAGCTGTTATCTTTTTTAAAATCTCCTCAACGGTGCTGAAATTGTTCGTATTTTCCTGTTGACTTATCTTTCGGACACTAACTGTTTGGTACTGGCTATCAGTGCATAGATTCGTCTCCTTTATAGTTATCATTTCATCATTTATCAAACATTTAAGATATTTTTCTGGCTCCTCCCTTATATCTTCGATAAATGAAATAAATTTCTTAGTATTAGCGCTCGGGCGCCAGAGTTTCACATTTCCTTCGGAGAGTTCCTGTAAATTACGACACAGATAAGTGACCAAGTTCCCAAGTTTGGAAACTTCGGAAATTTAACCGTTTAAGTTAATTTACAATGTTGATCTAACATAGAGTAATTGATAATGGTGATAGAGACGTGATATATATTTATTGAGTTGCCCCTTTTAGGGACTCGTACAAGTGAAATATATTGTGCAAGTTAATGCTGCCATACTTGGGCGTTGATTGATGATCCCTTTTGATGATTTTGTTTCTTTGACTTACTTAAGAATAAATATTAATAATATTGTGTAAATGACGACGGCTAAATCGAATAAATCACATGGCATTAATAATAAAAATTAAGAGAGAAAATGATTTTTTATAGTTGATTCTAGGGTATAGTTTTTATATTATTTTTCTACAGAATTATGTGCACACAAAAACGAATTCTTTAAAATAGTACAGATTTTGTTTCTAAGCAAACATCAGCGTTCGATATTGATAGTATAAGTTATTAAAAATGATAATATAATTTTTTTTAAAGTGATGACGGATTGTGTTTGTTTACTCGTTTACGGTATAACGGCACAACCTATTTGAGTGTTTGGGATAGGGGTAGTTTTTATCCTAATTCTAATTATATTATGACATACATATGTATATACCACAAAGAAGAGACGATATAAGAACTAAGTCATGATCTAACACCAGAATGACAAATGTTATGATTTAAAAAGATGTATGTAAGAGTAGCCGTATCAACAATGTGTCTGTTCAGTCAAGCCTCGATCAAGAACGGCGGGACAAGTTTTAATGAAACTTTTTACTGTACACATATTAAATATATTATGTTTGTTAGTGTTATTGACTTCAAAAAATGGTTGATGGAAAAAGGAGATGCTTAATTAATTATATAATTGTGTGTGTATAATTATATAAATGTATATATTTTTGTGTATATTATAGAACATATTAAGCATTTTTTACTAAACGGATTATTAACGAGTTAGTACAAGAGTATATTCTCTCTTATATAGGCAAAAGGTACAATGTTTTTCAAGTGGTTTAAAAATCGATGTTATCGTTAATTTAAAATTAATTACTCGTTTCTTTCATACAAGAAGTCGATTTTAATATAGTTGATATTAACCTAATTACTACATCTATTACGGACCCACTAATCGTGTCAAGCAATTAATTGGCACAGATCCGTAAGCCATTTTTCGAAATATTATTTTGACAAGATAATAAAGATAGTGGTAGCTAATAAAATAAAATTCAAAATATTTTATTCAGCATTAAATGATTACAAATTTTTACTGAACGTCATGAGTCTACTACCAGTTCGGAAAGAAGAAGCCTCAGACCTGAGGAGAACTGGCGAAAGAAACTCAGCAGGACTATAATGAACTCGTTGTCTTTTTTTAAAGTTAAATTATAAATTACAATATTTCTATCAAGTTGAAGCGATATAAAATCATTTATTGTAGTATATATAATAATAATAGCCTTTAGCACACAAACGTCCTTTAACATTTTTTTTTAATTTGGCGATAGAAGAATTTTGAACATTTTCTGGGATCCTGTTGTACAAGCGTATACATTGACCATAAAAAGAATTACTGACTCTGTGTAGACGAGTCACAGGCATTACGAGTTTGTGTTTGCTCCTAGTATCAATGTTATGCATGTCACAATTCTTGAGAAATTCAAGTAGATGGTACCAGCGTTGTCTTAGGTGTATGATAGGTTTTAATGTCGTAATTAAATTATAAAAATTAAAAAAAACTCGACTGCATTAACGCTAACTAAAAAAATGAAAACAAGTTCATGAAGGAATATAGCATTATGGAGTTCTTTAAGTTAGCTTTTATGAAGTCAGTTTATAATATTATATATTTTTTATTTACATCGGCTTTTTAGTTCTTGGCAATAAGACATTTGAAGTTACATTTAGCAATGTTTATTCAAATTACTTTAAAAAAAAATATTTTATTCATTAACAAAATGTTTACAAATTACAAATAAGGTTGAGATCGCCTTTTAAGTCTACAAAACACCTGTGACAGACAATCTCGCTCTTCCATAGCCACATCAAAAGTAACTTGTTATAGCAAATTAAGTTTTAAACAAATAAGTTTGAAAGAATTTTTTTAAAGACAAACATTTTGGCGCCTGAACTCCGCCATTTTAATTTTTAACTCTTGTCATATATCCTTTGACATTCGCGTTATTAAGACGAATCTAAGAACGCATGAATCATCAAAATCGGCTTACGCGTTTGGTACTAGAACGCCACATAGAAAAAACATACATACATAGACTGATAAACACATTACCCTCCTTTACATCGCGCAGTCGGCTTATGATACGTATTTAAATCGTAAAATAATATATACTTACACGTAGCTTTAGTCCGTTAATCTGTTGTTCTTTCACAATATCAACAAACTCCTTCAAGTCCCAAACTTCTAATACCTTAATCACTTCACTAACACTCAATAGTTCTACGGAAGCCATTTTACAAAGACTTTATTTATTTATACAATATTTCTTAAAATTTCCATTTCCACAACACTGATGCAAACGATTCACAAAATGGAGGAATATTTTCTCAAGCTAGCTGCTATATGATGTAATACAAAACAAATATAGATGTGTAAAACAGAACGGCTGCTGTTATACGGTAAATTAAATATATGACTTAATCTGTCCAAGAAGCACACGTTTCCAGTCTACAATAATAATTCATTTTTGAAATTTATATGATGTTTTCTTATACTTACATTAGATTTTTTAAATAAGCTAGTTTTTTGGATGTTTTCAAAGTTATTTAATTTTATATTTTATTCCTAACATTTTGAATGATTTACAAAAAACATGGTCACGGTAGAGGCTTTCTTGGTTCTTGACGACGTTTTAACACATGTTATAGAAAAAATCCGTAAAAATAGTTTTATGCAGACTATAGTACACATAAAAAGTTATTTTTAAAGAAATAATTTATTAAGAAACATTACTCAGTATAAAATTTAAGATTTAAAAATATAATATTTAGATAAAATGCCTTACAGAAGCTCTTAGCTGAGTCTAAAGATATGTACTATACTAAATAACCTGTACCAAAATTAATAATAATTGTTAAGGTAAAAGAATAAGAATAGCACTCCTTCAAAATATAAAAGTAAAATAACGACCTATTTTTTAGTCTTCGTAATTTTAGCACTAACACATTTAGTATTTATCACATACCGGCACTGAGAGATATCTGTATCTGAATGCAGAATGAAGAGCTTAATTAGCTAGATTGATACAGTCCTGTCGACCTCGATGTTGGAGTGCTCAGTGAGTGCAGAGTCGATTCCCGGTTAAAGTATTTAGTCAATAGTATTACTTTTTGTATTACTACTAAATATGATTTTATACTAGAAATATACATAGTTTGTTATTTTTGTATAAATATTGTATTGATTAGTCACAAAATTTGTTTTAATATAAGTTTAGTGCAGTGACAACGTGTCAAGAACAAGACTTTGGAAGTCAATTGTTTCATATCTGCGCGGAGTATTCCTTACTAATATTTAACACTCATTTTTCAAAAATCTATAAGCTCTGTGATTAGTATTAGAGGAATATGTTTCTCTCTATATATTTAATTAGATACCCTTATTTATGATGAATGATGTGAATGATTATTTCTAATTTAGTAATTTAGTCAGTTTAAATTAATTGAAATTAAAATGAAGCGCCTACTACAATATAATGAGCCACACAAGATAATGATATTAACGTATATAAACTAAAACATTAATATAATAAAAAAATATATTTATTGCAAGCAAAAGATCCATATGTGCAGAAAAAAATATATTACAGTTAAAATTAATAGTAAGTAGGTAATACAAAATAATACAGTAATTTTCTATTCTCCTATTATATTCTTTCTTCTTTCTTTTTTTTCTTTCCTTTCAAAATATAATAAAAGCGATTTTATAAAATTATTATTTTAAATTACATAGCGTTAAAGTTATTTTATTATTTGTTTTGTATCAATATCCGGAATCCATCTTGAGTCAAGCACCTGTCTTTCTGCCTGTTGTCAATGTTTTTCTACTTCCTCTCCGCTGGTGGCGCCGCCTATACTTGCATTTTGGCGCCAATAACCGGCAGCGCGCACCGGTGACCGTATGATTTAACCATTATAGCGTCGTTTTTCGCGCCGTTCATTGTTAGTAGTGTTGTTAAACTTCGCGAAATTACTTATTTTTCTTAATTATAGATTTAAATAATATTTAATTGATTATATTATTATAAATAATAATTATAGTTCGATTAAATTTTGTTCCTCTCCGTTGTTATTATGGGAAATCTCAATAATGATGTGTGAGTCAGAGAGTGTTAATGGTGGCTCTCATCTCGTAAGCGATTACATTCGCCAGTAACAAGTGCTCAAGATAGTGATAGTGATTCTTCTTCGAGTAGTGGATCCAGACCAAAGAAACGTAAATCAAGAAGGGACTCTCAAACCGTGAGTTATGCACACTTTTGAGTTTTTATCGCAGCAAATAGCCTTCTTAGCTAACCTAATATCTAAAAATAACCGACACTGAAGAAAAAAAAAAAACATACAAATTCAATTAATAAGAATACTACGTCCGTTTCGATAAATGAATTAAATCTGCGGCGACCTGAAGATAATATAAATAAGAAATGTAAACTTCAAATTTTGTCGGGAATCAGTACGACGGTAAAAGACCCAATCTACCCTAAGGCAAATGATACGTTTCTTAAAAAATTATCGGGGAATTACAACGTTTTAAATGTTGAGGATTGGTATGCCGTTCGTTTTTCGATGCACAAAAGAAATATTTAGCTACCCCCGGGTTTTTTGTCGAGTTTAAGCGTTAATGACGAATTAAAAGCGTTTTTGGGGGGGGGGGAATCGGCAATGCTTAAGGAGGATTCACGTTCATATTTATTAGAAAGATCTTTGTTGCGGCTTTGACGAATGCTATACTTTGTCAAAAAGATGATTTGCATAAAACTTTACAATCTTTGGTGGATTGGTCAAATGAGTCTAGGGATTCTTTGACGCCTAGTTTCTTTATTTGAAAAGTTGAAAAAAATTATTTTCTAAAGAATCTTCATATAGTAGGTGACCGATGATTTATTACAAAATAGTGTGCGGTAGAAGAGCTGATTTTATAAATATACGTCGCGAGGCTATGTTACGCCAGATATCTGAAGGCTTTCATCGTGATGTTTTACATAAAATTCCTCCTAGTACCGAATCGCTTTTTAATGATGAAGCCGTTCAATCATACCTTCAAAAAATAGGCGGGCCGGATAAATTAACTACATCAACAAATCAGTTCCTCAGACTTATTCAAAGGATAACTTTTATCAAACCAGAAGCCATCTACTAGTAAGCAAGTGTTGATAATAGATTTTTCGTCGAGATACCTTCACAAGAAGTCAAAAAAACATTCCCCGCAGGCGTCTCGTCAAAACAAAAACAAAAGACAAACAATCCCAGGGTCAAACCTAGAGGAAAGAAATCGCAGGCTTCTTTTAAAAAACAAGCATCGCGAATGACTAATTCAGATATTTCAAGGCGGTCTGTCTGAAACGATTTCTATGTGCTTGGAGCAATCTGGGTGCGCCAGACAAAATATGCCGCCTGTTGAATGGTGCACGTATACCCTTCATCCTCAAACCACCGCTAATATTTCCGAGCCCCACAGTCCCATGAAATTATACAGAACCAAGACTTCGCCCAATATGACCATCCAAATTCAAACCATGTTGAAAGTACCGGCGTGCTAGAACCTGAGAACTGACACCGAGTTATCTTTCCACGTTCACGTTCCTGGTGGCCAAGTCCGGATCAGACCTTTCGTCCTATCTTCAATCTGAGACACTAAATCAGTTTCGTAGTAGTCAAAAAACCATTTCAACTATTCAGCCACTTCCGAGTACCATCGTTTTTACAACCACAAGATTGGATGGCCAAGCTAGTATCTGAGTCAAGCTTAAAAATTTCCCGTAGCGATCGCACGAACACATCGCAGGTTCTTTCTTGAGACTGAATTATCACCAAAACCACACATCAGCATCAACTGCTTCAAATGACTTGTTTACCGTTCGGTCTCTCATCGGCACCCAGAACTTTTGCCTCGATAACCAATTGGGTCGCAGAATTTTCTGAGGAGTCACAAGATCCGTGCGTGCGTATTTTACTTGGACCGATTTTCTCCTAGCAAATCGGTCAAAGGTGCAGTTACAAGACGACGTCGCATTCACGATAAACATACTGCATTTACTAGGTTTGGACGATCAACTTCGAAAAATCTGTTCTGGTTCCGACAACAATGCCTCGAGTTTCTTGGCATACGTGGGACACAAAAAACCGCAACGCAAAGTCCTTGTCGGAACCGAGTGTACTAACGCTACGCAAAGCACTTCATCAACAGCTTCGCTTCGAAAAAGCAAGTGGTCCCTCAAACAGTATCAAAGTCTAATGGGGAGACTCAACTTTGCAACATTCGTAACACCGAGAGGTCGCCTGCACTGTCGTACTCTGCAATACTACAGCCGACAGCTGCCGCCCGGCGAACACCCATACCGGTTCATGACGCATTCCTCAACCTGCTCGGTCGGAGATTAGGAGTGGTGGTGCCAAGCTATAGGAAAGTCTATGCCGATACACGTAAGCGCATGTGACACACCTACTGACAACAGACGCATCAGACATCGGTTGGGGTGCCCAGCTCGGCGACATAAATATTATGGACCTTGGGGCAGATTCACAGCGGGCCTGGCATGCCAACAGTAAAGAAATGTTCGCCGTTTATGCTGCTATACGCCAGATCAACTGCAACTCCAGAATGCACAGGTACTATTGCAAACCGACATCGGACAGTAGTCTCATATATAAACAAGGAGGGTGGCACCAAATCCAAGAAGCTTCTTCACAGACTCGACAACTTCTGGCATTCTAGACAAGCGTAATATTCATCTGGACAGCGCATTATTTTCCCGGGCAGATTCATGCCGAAGTAGATGCTCTGTCTCGCGCAGAGAACTTGTCCAGAATGGCCATCTCACGAGGTCACGGGGACCAAGAAAATCTTTCGAATGTGGGCACGCCATAGATAGACCTATTCGCATCGAAGACAGCTCACGTAGTACCAAGAGTATGCATCGTTGGACTTAGACGATCAGGAAGCACAACACCACACGCGTTTTGTCATCAGTGGCACTACGACCTAGCTTGGGTTGTTTCCGCCCCCCAAATCTGATACCCAGAGTTTCTCAGACACTTGAACCACCCAGCGGGGACTACATATTGATTGCCCCGAAGTGGAACAAGGTATTTTGGCAAGCAGACGGTTCAACAGCGAGCTCGACATCCCCCGTATCTAAAAAAAAAAAAAAAAATTTCAGATCTGGCAGCAACGCTCTTATAGATTACAGAACCCAGCTCGGGGACGAACATCCGCCCGAGCCACGAGTGCAGACCTACACTTGGAGGCATGGCTGATTTCGGGTGGCCAGATATGTTGACAGAATGGACAGATCAAGAACAACAACTTCTCATGTCAAGCTGGAGATGCTCTACGATCAATACATACAAACCCTCGCGTGGCGCAGATGGAGGCAATGGTGTGAGTCTCTCATTCAATTGATTATAAATATCCTACCCCGGATCAAGCTCGGTTTCTAGCACATTTACATTGTGATATAGGTCTTGCATACAGAACTATTTTGGTGCATAAATCTGTTATTTCAACCTTCACACATTTAACAGGTAATATTGACTTGTCGAATAATTTTTCTTTATAAAACATGTATTAAGAGCTATTTCTGTAGCACGAGAGAAAGCCGGCTAAGCCACCTATTTGGAATCCTAAAGTGTTAATTGCAATACATGAGCTCTTATATTTTAATGAAAAAAAATAATCTCTACCAAGTATCAAGGCATGTTGCTACTCTTTTACTGTTAGCATCAGGCCGCAGGGTTCACGACCTTACATTGTTGCGAGTTGATAGCACTAGTTTAGTTGATCAAGGAACCTCTATTGTGCTTTGGCCTGTATTTGGTTCAAAGACAGATAGCCATAACCATACGACAGTCTGGATGGAGGCTTAGAGAGCACCCTGATAAAAAATTAAATCTCATTTATTGGTTAAGACAATTGTTACGTATAACTGTTAACCGTCGAAAAAATTTAAAATCACTTGTTTATTACAGCTAGAGGTGATAGTAAAGCCTGCATCTAGAACTGTTATTGGTGGATGTGGTGAGGTCTCCTCTTAAAGGATAGTGGTATTAATGCAACACCGGGTTCAGTAAGATCTGGCAGTGGCTTCTCTCAATTTTGTAGAAAACTTTTCAATTGATCAAATCTAGCCAACTAGTAACTGGAAATGATTCATACTTTTCAAACTATTATCAAAGAGAATTAATAAACTTACAATGATTCTAATTTTGTGAATAATTCTGTATCATTAATCTAATTATTTTGATGCTGTGAAATGAGAATATTAGTATAACATTATATGTTTCTTCTTTTATATGAAGTGGTGTTTGTAAGTATATGAAATATTTTATACTTGTTTAATTGTTCTAATACATGTAGCATCAAAAACATGGCGTTTTATTAACCTAATATTTAATTATCATACACATTATAGCGTTCTTTGGGTTCAGCGCACCAGGTGATACAAAAACACATCACTCAAGATGGATTCCGGATATTGATACAAAACAAATAATAGAGAGTTTTACCATCAAATAAAACTTACCTATTATTTTTTCATCAATATCCGGAATCCAGGTAAGGTCTACCTGGTGCATCATGAGTTCTATAATGGTTAAATCATACGGTCACCCGGTGCGCGCTGCCGGTTATTGGCGCCAAAATGCAAGTATAGGCCCGGCGCCACCAGCGGAGAGGACAGTAGTAGAAAAACATTGTGACAACAGGCAGAAAGACAGGTGCTTGACTCAAGATGGGGGGGGGGGGGGGGCGGGGGATTCCGGATATTGATGAAAAAATAATAGGTAAGTTTTATTTGATGGTAAAACTCTCTATTTAGCGTTAAAATTATATTAGAAGCTGTCGACGTTAACACGACTGTCGAACACCTCTAAAAAATTCAGGCTGAAAATTTTTAAAAATTACGATATATTACAGAATTGGGGCCCTAAAATAAATTTTATTGCGATCCGTCAGTCATTGTTATTAGCATGATAAATACAATTATTCGTCAAACGCCACTCCCAATTATTATTCAATATTGAATTTGCAACTTTAGCACAAATTACTTCGAAACTTGAACGTACTTGCATAAGATATTCCGATGAAACGTTTTTCAGGTTGGTTATTAATTGAAAATTTAATATATTTGAAAATATTTCATTTAATTTAGAAATTTGCTTTATTTGCTTGCCATCATTTAATTTAAGCTTAAGAATTTTCTCTGTTCGAAGTAGGTACGTTTTATTAGAATAGTCGCTTTAAAATTATAATTTATAGTTTAATTATTATTTTAATTTCAAAGTATCCAAATAGCATTCCTAGAAGCACTGATAAAATAATTTAATTAAATTGACGTAATGGATATACCTCATTATATCTATTTTTCTTTTATTTCAACTACAATTCTTATAAGCATTTTATACTATACAAGCTTTGCATAATATCTCATATATAAATAAAAATATCCCATGTTTGCTGTCGCACTCCTCCGAATCGACTCGACCGATTTTAAGGGTTTTTTTTGTATATTTGGTTAGTATGAGTATACGTCGTAAAGTGTTTTTCACCATGCGGGTTGCTCCTGGTACTTCTCTGATAGCAGAGTGCACTTTGGAGCAACCCCATGGTTGTTGTGGTCTGCTTCGGCAGGCCTGCCGTCGGGGCGTCGTAGTTGAGTGCGTAAGCGATCCTGTGACGCCCCATTAAGACGGGGGAAGGCTTTGTTGGTTTTCAGTGGGTAGTACTGACTTTTCTAGCCGGTTAGTCCCACATAACCGCCTGTTTGTCTACAGGTGGTATGCGTAAATGCATTTCCCAAGATTGAAAAAAACGGGTTATGGTTATCTCTGTATATATCTGTCAGTGAGTTAGTGAATGAATTTAAGATTTTTATTAAGATGTCTGGACTCTGGAGGGACTAAAATGCTGTGATGCTATAAATTAATGAAAAATATCTTCATTTAATGTTGGCAATCGCGTAACTTCTGAATGATTAGACTTATTAAGGTCATATTCACACAACTTGTTTTATTGGAATGATATTCATAATCATGCTACGATCCGATAACGTGCTTTAGTCAGCCTATTGAAATATAAAAATTGCGTGGGTAGCTTTGCTGGTAGTCGAGCCCCACACCTCGTGCCTAAGTGCATTTCCCAACGTTAAAAAAAACAAAAAAAGATTTTTAACTACGGGACAATCACTTAATACGTTACGTTAAAATATTGTACGTTTTCATTATCGGTAAAGGCAAGACTAATTTTCAGAATTCAGAATCACGTAATATATAGGTTTGCATAAATGAGTGAACCAATAAGGTATTGTATTATAAGATATGAAAATATCTGAGTGGTGACATCATCGGGCGGGCGTCTGAGACATCAATTAACTTGTGGCAAATCTTGATGTGTATATAAATCATAATATTTATTTTTATATCATAAGCTATGTGACTCGTTTGTTCACCGTCGGGGCGTCGTAGTTGAATGCGTAAGCGATCCTGCGACGCCCCATTAAGACGGGGGAAGGTTTTGTTGGATTTTAGTGGGTAGTACTGGCTGTATTGCGCCGGTGAGTCCGACACGTCGTGCGTAAATGCATTTCCCAACGTTAAAAAAAAATGTGACTCGTTTGTTTAAAATTTGTACAGCGATAGGTTGAAATAAATGTATTATCTTATTTTATAAACATTAACTGCACATATATATATATAAATTAATATTATGTATTTATAATACGTTCTTAAATTTACACGAATATTTGGCATTTTAAATAAAACTATCTTTTCAGATTTTTTCACGGGTTTATTTTGTTGTTGTGGTTCCCGACGTTTCGAATTCTTTACACTTTACAGCAATCATGGTCACGAGAGAGACTAGGGATTAAGACGTCTCAAAAATCATTATATAGGTACTTCTTACAGAGCCTACCCACAAAATTACAAAATGAATTCGTGTACCTTGGAAACGACTTTATCAATTTGAATCTTATTTAAATACTATTTAAAAAACAAAATCTCCTTTAAATAAGTTTACCTATATAGATGTCTTTTCTGAAAAAACGCAATTTTTAAGTCTTATCCGAAAGACGCCGAGCGAAGCTTGGTCGCTCAGGTACTATAATAATATGAATTTTGATTGTTTGGAACTCAATCAATTTACAAGAAATGTAATACTAATATAAACAAACCGATAACAATTGAATTCTGTTGTTTCATTTTCTCTTGTTTGTCATAAATATTTAATATTTGCTTTTTATTATTTCAATATACGTACTCTTATCTATAAAAATAAGTCTTTTTTTCTATCCAAACTATCTCTTCAACAAAAAAATATGATGACAATATAAAGTACGCAATTGTTTACATTTAATTTTGAACAAAGTATTCTACAAACCGCGTAAGCTGTGGCTTATCTGCTAACACTAACTGATAATATTATCGAGGATAAGCGATAAATCATACAATATGAGTTACAAAACCATTTTGTTTATTTCAATACGTTAAAATATAAATTTGAATTATAAATCATTTCAATTTTTACTGGCAGAACAATAATCAGGCCTTTGCACTATATACATACACGATCAGTCTTCAACTCACTCTACAGAGCACGTCATACATTTTGTGTGCGATTTCGGCTCCTCCAAAACCAATGTAACAACTATTATGACTTGGATGGATTTTTCCGGGAGTGACAGACAGCTGGTGCCTCGCTCTCCCGACGAACAATGACTCCCCAGATATAGTCTTCCCTCCTTCAATAGCCCCGGGTGGTAAGTTGCCATTAGAAGCCGGCACCCATCTCAAGCTTTCAGGTCTTGCGCATAGCACTTCGATGTTCTGGACGGGGATTTCCTTTCCATTGTACATAACAGATGCAGCGTTATGTCTAATTGATAGTTTTCCAGGAATCAAGTCACCATTATGCCATGCCCTTATTACCCATAATGGGCTTCCATCCCAACCTTCGTGTCCTCCTACCACAGCTTTTCCCGTTAAACTGGCCGCAGTTAGAGCAGTTGTAGGAACCCAGTCGTAATCACCTCCAGATCCTGAAATTTGGACCTGTTCAGATATCGGCTGTCCAGAAGTTTCTCCATGATAAATGTAATTTGTGATGTACGTTGGTTGGTTCGTGTCTTGGGGGGGTGGCGGCATCATGGGGACTGGTACCATGACAGTTCCGGGGACGTAGTATGGCATTGGTGGTTGACCGCCTTGAGGGTATGAATGAGGAGGGGGTGGACCCCAGCCATAGTAGGGTGGTGGTGGTGGTCCTTGAGGAGGACCAGGAGGTCCATGTGGAGGATAACTCATTCTCACAATACTTTAATAACTTCTATTATTCTTCACGGAGTATAACTCGTTGCACTGGTAGTTGGAAGTACTTTGCGTGTCATGTGTTTCAAATCGCTTATATTATTTGTTGCTTTAATCTTATCACGACTGATACTGGATATGATATCGATAGTGAATCATTGTTAGTCATATAATTTGCAATAATATTAAAAACAAAAAACATTTTTGTCAGTATGAATCATTTATAGCTTTGTAGCTTGAATTCTTAATTATCTGATGTAATTTTATTAAAGTATGTGAAAGTTTCTTTAGTGTAATATGAATAAATTTTTTTATAGTTTACTAGCCCTATTCAGCGGCTCCGCCCTTATTAATATGTTAACAACCAGGAAACAAACTATTTAATTTCCAAAAAAAAAAAAACAAAAAAAATATTTGTAAATACTTGTACTGAATTACAATATTTGGTTGTATGGAACATCGTCACACGGCGAAAAACTGCAACTATAACGGAAATACAAACCCTAGCAAAATTTCAAGACGATATGGCGATAAGTAGGTAAAAAGTCTTATTAAATCAGTTAACATACTTCACAATTTATGATCTTGCCGGATTTTGTCAAAAACGAAAAATACTATGTAAAAAAAATAATGGGATCACTTCGGGAACTACCTTAATACAATACAGTTTAAAGTTAACTGTTTCCGAAATATTGGTAAACACTGAATATACATAAAAAAAGATACATACAGACAAGCAAAATTCCTCCTCCTTTTGGAAATTCGGTTAAAAAACTTTATCACACAATCTAAATAAACCAATTTACCAATACACAAAAGGATATACTGAAATAAAACAATCCAAACAATTTTAAATAGTACATTTATAAGAAAAATTCACACGATCTTATATCTAAGAATAATTAAAATAAATTATGTATAAATAAAATATTTAAAATTTCATATTACTAAATACATAAGAAGTTAAAGTACATTCGTAAGTAGACAGAGTACATATGTATATATTATAATATATACATACTATATACATAAGCAGAATATATTAGTTTGAGCAAACTTCACTGAGAAGGCTAGATATACATATTATATATGTTTTTTTTTAATAAAGTACATAATATTTGAATAATACTTTGTTAGACTTAGGTCGGCGAATATTTGACATTATAAAATATATAAAAAATATAAAACTATCTTTTCTGTTTTTCCGACTGACATATAGACTGGATTATTCTTTCCCGTGACCATGATTGCTGTAAAGCATTGGAAACGTCGGAAACTAAAAATCATAATAAATTGGCGAAAAAATCCAAAAACATAGTTTTATTTAAAATACACATTTGAATGTTTATAACATTTGATACCCCGATATGGACATTCCTTTTTCTGTAGTCGGTTTAATTTGCAAAGTGATTTAAATAGTTTCATATAAAACGTATTTAAACTCCAATATTTACCGTTGCCTGTATTTGAACAATAAACGTTGGGTTAATGCTCTTTTCATTTAAATCAAAATATCATATATATCTTATTTAATAAAATGAAACTCAATGAAGTGAATTTTATTAGATACTAGCGATTCGCCCTCGCTTTGCTCGAGTCCATCCCTAGTTGATTCAGTAAATTGACATAACTTTTTTATTTATGAACCGATTAAATAAAACAGGTACAAAATGTTACGTGAAACTTACAAAAGACATTTGTGAAAACCGAGAAAATTAGTGCGCACAAACGCACAGACAGACTAAAATTCTAAAAGTCATTGTTTTGGGTTCTATTGCGTTAATAAAGATCTCCAATAATAGTTTTTCTCAAATATCTTCCATGTACAGACAGCGCTCAGTAACAATTTCATCATATGTATAGAAAAGACCAAATTTAATAAAATTATAGTTAGGCATTTTATATCATTCTCATATAAAACAATATATAATAAAAAAGATACATCAATTACAGTAGATACGTATAATCTTAATAACTAAATCTTTCATACAAACCTCATACACTCTCTACATACATACAGAAAGTATTATACAGAGATAGAAGAAGTATATAGAACTATCGTATTCTCCCTCTATAGTACTTCTATCTCTTTTCATATGCTTCCCATTTACTTTTAAATTATGTATTTCCTCATGTTACGAGTATATCAATTCACTGGAACAGTTCTGAACTGCTGTTCTGCTTTAAAGAATCTCTTTTCAAGAAATATCGGTTAAAAAAGAAGTACTACTACATTCTTCTTCTTCGTTGTCCTTTTTTAACTTCTTAAATTCATATAATATGCAAAGAACAGCATTACAACTCATTTTAATGCTATTATTGAATAATAAATTTATGATGTTTTATTTTGTTCCAAAAATTGAGTTACAATGTTGCTCCTTGCGAATGTCACATAAACCAGCTCGACCTTCTGAATTTCTTTCCCAATCATACAAAGATGTGATACAGATTATATTATTATTAATATTCTTTGTTGAATTCAAACGCGGTAGCTGTCATTATAGCTACCGCGTTTGAATTCACTGCGAGAGGAGCTAGTGCAGAGTGAGGTCTCTGGAAATGTCAAATGACACTGAATGTTTACTCGTTGCGAGCTTTCCATTTCGTTAATTATATAATTTATGATTATTGTAAACTTTTTGCCATTTCCGATTAATTATGGCAGGGTACGGGTCAACAAATTTAATTACTTTAAAAGGACAGCTAAGAAAGAGTTAACATTTACTTTATTTGGTTATTATATACTAATTATTTAAAATAAAATCCTGATAAACTGGTGCCGCGCTAACAATTATTGTTGTATATTTACGCCGCGCTAACAAATACTATTTTAACGACAGCGACAAAACCTCACTCGCTAGTGGCTCCAACCGCTGCCGCTAGAGACGATAGCCCTCGGGAAGGGAGATATTATTTTATTTTATTTAGAATCTCCAACAAAAGATACACACTATATACAACATCTTATAAAAGCTTAAAAATCAAATAAGACTCACAACACGTGTGCTCCTTCACTTATGGGAGACCACAGCTCGCTCATTTATGTATTATAAGTTATAACTAAGTTTAAACTAAGATAAAATTAAGGTAATACATATATAGAACAACAGTAAGTAATCGCCAGTGAGACACGAGTCAGGTGAGCACGACGGCGCGGAACACGCAGCGGCCGCCGTCCAGCAGCGCGGGCCACACGAAGGCGCGGATGAGGTCGGAGCGCCGCTCGCCGCCGCCCGCCAGCCGCACGTGCTTATCAGGGCTCATCAACACTGGGGCCGATGTTTGGTATACATTATAATATAATTCATATAGTGTATACTATAATTATACTACTGTCTTAAAGGTATAGTGATTTATCTGGAGGTCTTGGGTTCGAGTTCCAAGTTGAGTTGATGTATCGTATTGAGCTTTTCTGTTAAGAGATTCTCACTAACAGCCTAAAGTTCGGAAGTTGGAAGTGATTCATGCTCGTGTTGTAGAACAGGTGTCACGTCAGGTTTGCATCTGATCTCGCAGTGTATGGAACTATAACTGTAGAGTGCACATTGTGTATGCGTTGATGTCAAACAAGCGGCCGGTAAAACTTTTGCTCAGCCGATCAGCTGAAAACCGATCAGCTGTACGAAAAATGTACTACGCCGATCTCAAATAATTGCGAAATCGACAGAGAGATGATGGTGAATACGATACGTTTGGCTCTGTTTGTAGTAACTCTACTTGCTGTGCCAACGGTCGCGAGTTCTACTCCCGCTGGGGGCATACATTTGTGTGATAAGCACGGATGTTTGTACTCTAGTTATAGCTGTTCCATCTATAACACAAGCTTCGTAACTTACCATAGAACTAGATGGTGTTGTGTGTTAATGCCCCAGAATATTTAAAAAATATAAAAATACAATATACTAGCGACTCGCCCTCGCTTCGTTCGGGTTCGTCCCTAGTTTGTTTCCCAATACAAATTTTCATCCCCATTTATACAGTTTTAAGGGATGATTTCCGAGATAAAAACCAATCTATGTCCTTCCCATTGTCTTAAACTATCGTCTTACCAAAATTCATCTATATCGGTTCAGTAGATCCAGAAATTACCCCTTACAACGTCAACAACTTAACCTGTTTATAATATTAGTATATATTTAGCAGCACGACTCACCGGGCGTGAAGTCGGTGTCGATGCGCAGCGGCGGCGCGGCCAGCGACAGCGCCCACGCCGCGCGCACCGCCGCCGCCGCCAGCGCGTGCAGCGCGCCGCACGCCGCCAGGCACGGGTACTCGCGCAGCGTCTGCACTATCTGGCATGTGTGCCGTGTGTTAGTTTAGTTATATCTTATGTCGTATATGGTAATTATATAATTATGCACCATCTTCATTATATTATAGTGCATAAATAACATATATTCTTAATTATTATAGTAAAAGCTGCCACTAAATTCATCAAATACATTTTCGTGCAATTCTGATTGCTCTGATTCTATCTTTAAATGTATGTGTATGTTTATTACTCCTTCACACCGAAACGACTAAAAGGATTTAGATATAACTTAGTACACTTATAGGTAATATACATAACATTACCATTATTACCCGAAACGAAATAAGAGACTCCAAATACCTGATTAATGACAGTCCTCTCCGCATCACCGAGAGGGTATGTCTGTGCGTTGTGGCGCAGCAGCCGCAGCGCCGCCGCCACCAGCGCCGCGGCGCCGTCGCCTGCCCGCGCGCCCCCCGCCTCCCCCGCCTCCCCCGCGCCCGCGCCCGCGCCCTCCCCACCTTCTTCGCACCCGAGCAGCGCCTTCACCTCATTTATGCGCTTCTCGCGTAGACTTATCGCCGCTCGGAATGATAGCTGGAATTGTATGTTGTTTTTATATGTTAAAAATAAGTAAGTTCAATCTTTGTTTCTTGATAATCTTTTAAATATGTGTATTGTTACTTTTTTTGTATTTTTAAATAATAAATAATATAGATGTTTAAAACATACTCCTATTGTAAATGCGAAAGTTTGTATATGTGTGTGTATGTTTGTTACTTCTAATCTAAATCCAAGTTCATCCTGAAACCGATGAATGGGTTTAGATAAGTATACAGATTAGACTATGAGCTGGAATAACACAAAAGCACGCAATAAACGCACAGTAATTTACTAATCTATACATAATATAAAATTGTGAGCCGTATGTTGAATAGTTTTTAGAAAATCCTCTTCTAGCTAATATAAATTTGAAGAGTTTGTTGTTTCGATAGTCACAGACGGTATGCAAGTAGTATTGAATATAGTCTAATTTCATTCATTCATTTATATATCTATACTAGTGAAATCCACACCACCGTCAGTTACGGTTAAAAAACAAATTCTTCATCTTTACATTTGCTAGAAAAATTTCCAAAAATATTCAATTAACAGAAGCGGTTCATTTCATATTTTGGAAGTTGACTAGGAAAGTAACTTACAACAACAACAGAGAAGACGATCTTGTACTTGAGGTTGGGCGCCGGCTTCAAGGGCTCGAGCGCGGCGAGCGCGGGCAGCGTGTCAGCGGCGGCGCGCGCCCACACCGCCGCGTACTGCGACACCAGCTTGCTCCTGTACGGGATTATTACTTTATAATACAAGTTTTTATTAATAGGTATTAGGTACAGTTTAAGAAGGCAGTGGTAGCCCAGTGGTAACGCGTTCGTTTAGGAAACCGAGTGAAACGGGTTCAAATCTCGGGTCTCGCACCTCTGATATTTTCATATACGAATCATTTCTAACATGATTACCACTTGTCTTAACAGTAAAGGATGTCTTAAAACATCGTGAGGAAACCTCCATACCTGAGAAAACCTAACAAGTTTTTAAATTTAAAAGACATTTAAAGTCCGCCAACCCGCACTTGACCAGCGAAGTGGGCTATGGCCTGATCCACCTCGTACTGAAAAGGGAGGCCCCTCCCTTTTTAAGTCAAAAAGGGAAAAAAAGGGAAGTTAAAAAGGGCGGAATACAATACAAGTATTATACCTACTAAGGTAAGTAATATAGTTTTAAAAGAGTAATAATAATAATTATTATTATTATGTTTGTACTTCTTCGAATTTTACGGACTCAAAAGAGGCCGGTCCTTTGGAAAGATTGCGTGAGGACACAGGTCCAATATTATTAACATTTACTATCTTTTTTTTAGTGTTTTTTTCCGTTTAAAATATACCAAGCCCGTGGTATCTTAACCTATGTACAACAGATGTAAATACTAGAACATTTTAAGATTGACGCGAATATTTCACTTTTAAATTAAATATTTTTCAATTTTTTTTCGCGTATTTGTTTTGTGGGTAGATACTGTCAGTAACGGCTAAGTATATGATGACCTTTGAGACGTCCAAAATTTTAGTCTCTCCCGTTACCATGATTGCTGTAAAGCATTCGAAACATCAGGAACCAAAAATCAAAGTAAATCCGAAAAGATAAATTTATTTAAAATGTCATATTATAAGATTCATAAAAAAAAACAAATAAGTTATACTTGGCAAGTTAATATGACTAATACTTTCTGAGATTTATGCAAATATTTGACATTTTATTTTTGTTTTTGGTTCCCGACGTTTCGAATGCTTTACAGAAATCATGGTCTCTCCCGTGACAAGAGAATTTTATTTAAAAGTTATGACTAATTTATATTTTATAACTTAATTTCACCTGTCAGGGTGCTGATGAGCATCATCGCTGTCGGAGTGGTACCCGTCGCTGGCGGAGTCTGTCGGCGACCGGGGGGTCTCTATCTCCGCAGATATCTGGCTCTCGTTCATCTGGGAGAGCACGGCGGCGCAGCCTCGAGAGTAGCTCATGAGGACACCTGCTACTGGCCTGGAAATACATAATTTTAACCCAATTATCTATGAGGCTCAATAAGATATCTATTTAAACAAATACTAAAAATTGTGATTTAGAAAGATTGATTTCGTCAACAATTATATAACTAATTAACCAAGACCGATAACTAATCATAATACAAATGGAAATATTTATCTTAACCAAACCCGCGACCTATCATGTCACGTACTTAATCCCTATACCTAGTTCATTATAGTCAAGCTACAAACACACTCGATACTTTTTTTTCGTTATCAATGATGTTATTCGTTATCAATGATTATGCGGTTTGAACTTAAAAGCTTCTTCACAATGGATGAAAATTATATGTCCATCAAACTCAACATTCAAAGGCAAGTTAACTCTTTAGAGTATAAGAGTATCTATAGTATACTAATATTATAAAGAGGCAGAGTTTGTTTGTTTGAACGCACTAATCTCAAGAACTGTTAATCCGATTGAAATATTATTTTTGCATTAGATAACCCGTTTATTGAGAAAGGCTATATACCCAAGAAAGTGGAGTAGTAATATAATGTATGGTCTATCTATTCCATACGAACCGTTAAAACGTACCTAGGGAAGAACCCGAGCGAAGCGAGGGTGAGCCGCTAGTATATTTTATTGTAACAAAAACAGATAGCGCTTTCTACGTTTAAAAGATACAACTTTTCAACAGAAATCCTTCCCGAGCTAGCGTTAGCTCATAGACTGACTTTAATCTAGCCCCTTTTGAAATTATATTCATTCCAGTGCTTGTAAAAGTCTAATTAAAGTATACTTTAAGTTTTGAAGAAAGCTAAACAAAGGTAGCAGCGAGCTAAAAAGGCAATAAAGAGCAATAAAAAAGAACAAATAGTGTTAATTTGCTTAATGAAGTAACGGAACAATGAGTGATATAATGCTTCTCATACTGGAGGAAAGTTTTATATAATAGGGTAAGTTAACGTAAGTTAGACTTAATTTGAAGTAATTAATCATAATATTAAATTAGTCAAAGAAAGTTTTTGAGAATATTAGTAGTTATTTATGGAGGTAGCTTCAAGAGTATGTTGTTCTTTAATTATTGTAATTGGTTGGATTAAAACCATTATGCACAGTGGTAGATTTGCCAAATACCTAAAGGGCTATAGCAGAGATGACAGGTTCAACGTTACGAAATATTCAACATGTAGTATATAAGGAGATTATAAATTTTTCTATATACTAATGACTTAAAATTGCTTTGCTTAGGTGCCTATACTTAAAATTTACATACATATGTACCTACACACATATGTAAAAAAATTCGCATTTATATTACTAATTTCATTGGATTAATTAGTACAATACATAGTTCTATATAACATAATATAATGCCTTCAAAAAATAAGAAAACCTATAGTAGTGAAACCCGTGCTTTTGAATTAAGTGAAAAAGATGATAATTTCATTAATCCTAACGTGTGAAATAGCTAGAAAAAACTGATACTTTCCGATATTTACACACATTAGTTATTCTACGCAGCTACAAGTTAAATATTATATTAAGAAGAAACCCAATATTTATTATGTACTTTCCGCAGGTTAACAAAACTTCACATTAAACAATAATTATTACATTTAAAGTAAAAAGTTCAAGTATTCAGGAATTTGTCTCAAACACTCACACTTAGTGTCTAAATATAAGATAATAAACATACGAACTGTACAGTATCTAGGTATTAGGATTCAATGTAGATGAGAATTCAATTGATCGACTGCCATTTTTGTTTGACTGACAACGGTATTTGTAGAAATTATTCAGAAGCAGTCATAAAAAGTGGTGTGCCTAAAAGTTGAAATACAAGTAGCAAAAATAAACAATTTCCAGCGAAACCTATGTATCTAGATAGATGGCTTAGCTTTTTACTAAAGCGATGCGCAGTTGGGAAACTACAAGTTTCTCAGTTTTCTACAAAACGTTTAGAAAAGTTGTTTTCTGTTTACTGCTTAGATACTTTTGTACGCTCTATTTTGTTTTTCCTTCTACGAGTATTTTAGTTTTGTAAGTGTTAAATTAATTATACGGCACTTACATCTACACATACAATAAAATTCTAACTGAATCTGTACATAATTTATTTTTTGGAAAATCTTTAGATATAGTTATTATTATCGATACAGAGGTCGATTCTGCTGTTTTTAGAATTTTTATCTGTCTGTCCGTCTGTCTGTCTAGAAACGCATCACGAGAAAACCAATGATTAATATTATATCCCTAACTTGAGAAATGATTGATTGATTTCCCATACAAACTCCTACCAGTCATTTTACCAAGCCAAGATGATTTTCGGAATAAAAACTATTCTATGTCCTTACCAGAGTCTCAAACTATCTTCTTATAAAATTTCTTCTAAATCGGTTTAGACTAAGCGTGAAAAGGTTACGGACAGACAAACAAAGTTACTTTCGCATTTACAATTCTAATATTAGTATGGATATGAACAATAGAATTAGTTTTAGTGGCAATGTTAGAGACGAATAGAGAAATCTACAAAGTCACTAACAATAGCATACGTGTTAAATCTCTCTGTGCGTGGATTTTATGACTGCGTGAAATAACGGCGATGAAGACATTTATTTATTTACGACATGTTAAATATAAGAATTGTATACATAATAACTTTTATAGCATAATGGTAATAAAAGTTACTTTCATTCTTAGTCTTGTTAGCTACATGTGAGATTACCAGTTTGATTCCCGTAAGAACTATTATGTGGATTTAAAAATTTCAATTTCATACAAGTGAATCGAATCGAATTATTATTACCATCTTTTTAAATAAGTTGGAAATTATATGCAAATAATTATATTAGCAAAGTCCTATTCTTCAAACTACTTCGTTAGTCTAGTGGCTAGCATGAAAGGCAAATTTGGAGGTGTTGCGTTCGATCCTAGGTCGGGTTGGTTTAGAAATTCTGAGTTGTAGTCCGGAAGTGGGGGATGTTATAACCCCGTGCCAAAGTAAAGCATGTAAGTTGCGGTTGTGTCAAAATATCATCCCGTCAGACTTTGAGAGTAAAAGCACATACTTGAGCATATTTTTTTATTGAAATGGCAAAATAGAACCAACTTCATTTCAATTAGCACATATAATAATAAACAATGAAATGAAACTTTATTCAAATAGACTTATTACAAACACTTTCGAATCGAAATTTAGTAGTAGGTAATGTAGTAGTTTTGTAGTCAGTCCGTGAGGAAGCTAGCACCAGCTCGGAAAGCAATTCTGCTGAGAAGAACCGGTGAAAAATTCAACAGTTGCTCTTTATAATATAGAAGTTACATTAATAAACATAATATTACAGATTCTATCATTCATATCGTGACATATCGTGGCACAAAAATTGTATGTCAACACAAAATTTCGCTTTATTTCTAGCGGAATTATAAATCGATTACAATAAAGAGGATATAGTGTTAAGTAATATTCCCAGAAACGAAAACGATACGTAACTAACATGATACGAGTATATCTAACGAAATATCTGTAATTCATAAATAATTTTTCTAAAGCGGAAACGTTTGACTAAACAAGTTAAATTGCAGGTGGCATCGTGTTACATGCATTGCCCAAGAAAGGTGCGGTCATTAGATAACTTGATGTATCGCTGTGTTACATCACTGTTTATAGAAAACATAGATCTTTTATTTTTAACTACTATTTTCCCGCACGCATAGCCTTTATGTATATATGTATAATTAATTATCACATTTCTAAGTAAAAAAGCTAGTAATTGCAAAAAGATTTTTATTATATTATGTTATTATTAATAAAGAAACAAATATATTTTTTGTAGGTAATAAGTAAAAACTTAATTTGAATTATAACTTTAAACTAGCCTTCCTTGTACAGTTCTGTCGAAAAATCTTCAATTAAAATATATATTTAAATATTTATCTAAACGTATTACATCATTTATTTGACTTAAGTTTTTAAGTTAATTTAAGTTTACATTTAAAAATTAAAAATTAAAAATTTATTTATTTTTTTAAGCTTTCTTTCGCTCATAACGTTGTTCTATTTATTATTACCATATACAAACATTACGTACATCTCACTCTTAAGAACTTTCGCCATTACATAAAGGAGAAATCATCAAATCAATGATTGATGCAATTTACAATATTTTTTAAAGAGTCAATATTTACATTGGTTTTGCAGAACTGTTGATTGTATCTATGTAAATAAAACTTAAATGTCCGTTTCAAATGGAATGACTTTCTTGTCTAAACCATGTCAATCTGGAATACGTGCTACAACAATAATGAATATATCAAAGTACTAGCGAGTAGTAGGTTGCTTCCCTATACAAACTTTCATCCCCATTTCACCCATCCGGGATAAAAAAAATATCCTATATCCTTCCCAGTGTCTCAAACTATATTTTTACCAAATTTTATCTAAATCGGTTTTGTAGTTTCGGAGCTTATTCGGTACAAACAAACAATAAAATCTTTCCTCTTATTATATTAGTATAGATAACAAACAGTATGTATGTACATTTGTTATTCCTTCCACCTGAAAAAGTTCAACGGATCTATATGAAAGCTAGTACATATTTGTATAAAATTTGGGCAATAAGTGGCGCTATAAATAGCATCTAAACACGCAATAGAGCTAATCGAGTGTAAGTCGCTAGTCAAAATTATAGTGATTCTCTACCTAGAGTATAATAAGACCACCTAGATTCTAGAGATATAGTCTATTAAAAAAACATATTACAAAAAGATACTAACTATATTATCTTTGTAAAATGATTTTTTTCTTGTTAAAGTATAACATCATAAAAGACAAATTGTATTTTTATTTGCTTGAACATGTACATACATATCAGTGAGATTAGAAAAAATCTTTTTGCATTTGCCAGCTTATTTACTAAGAAACGTTATCGTCAATAATATATAAATAAAACATGTGAGCAGACCCGTGGGCTACTATTAGTTATTATTATTATATTATTATAAGCCTATAGTGTCCCACTGTAGGGCAAAGGCCTCCCTACTCTTCCTCCACTACTCCCCATATTTCGCCATAATAAACCACTCTCTCTCTCTCTGAGGAGTCCAACTCATCCCGCCATCCCCGTCTGAGCCTACCACGCTGTCTGTTGTGTTGAGGGATCCAAAAAGTTATTTGTTTATTACTAGTAAAAGAATAAAATATCTGTGTTGTTAATTTAAATCCCCTATTTTTGAAATCGGTTAACACAACACATTATACAAATTCATTCGTATCCGGAATAAAAACTTAAGAAGAGCGCGTGATTTCCTTTTCCTTTACAGATAAGTAGATAGCATTGCTCACATCCGATGTGTAACATTTACTCATAATATTTTGATAGCGTGTAATTTCTGTTATTAGCAAAGCCGCTATGGTCTAGTGGTCAAACCACATAAAATAGAAGGTCGTAGTTAACACTGTATTAGATTTACGTGAATATTTGACATTTTAAATAAAACGATCTTTGATTAATGTTGATTTTTGGTTTTCGACGTTTCAACGAGACATCTAAAACCTTAGTTTCTCCCATAGACCATGATTGATGAAGCATTCGAGACGTAGGGAACCAAAAATCAAAATAAATCTGAGAAATAATCCGAATAGATAGTTTTATTTAAAAGGTCGTAGTTAAATTAACCCATATATCATTTTTATGTCTTAAAATTCTATAATGAATTCAAAATCCATGGTGTTGTTAGCTTGTAAAATTATTATATTTCTATATGACTATTTTCAGTGTCCATTTTTTAACACTATAACAAGGGGATTATTTTTATATAGTTTCTTAAATATTTTAAATACATTTTAAAATGTAGAAAAAAAACCAGTATTCTAATTTGACCCCAAAATTAAAATACATTCATTTACGTTTTTATATAAACTAGTTGATCGCTAACTCGGCACTATTTATACGAACCAAATTTCAACATATTCCATCAAATTGATTCGAAGAAAATACTTTATAACACTTGATTATAAAATAAAAATTTTAACTTCACATGTTCTAAATCCTTAAAACATAAGATCTAGACGAGATTAAAAAATCTATCTGTAACCGCAATTTCGTTCTCGTTGCAAATTTCACAAAAAACAGTTTTACAAAATTTCAAAACCAAAATCCCTCTTTTACCCCTCAGTATCGTAGTTATAGAGGTTACATGATTTAGTCAATCAGTCAATGAATCTATAATGTGATGTTTAACTGTGATACTAAAAATTACAAATATACATTACCCATACCTCGTGTCACTCAAATCCAACGTAGGGTCAGTCCTCTTGATCTGGCCGACGCAGGCGAGGACCGCCTTGTCGCTGTCCACGCGCGCCGCCAGCGACGCCACTAGTGTCGGCAGCTGCCGCAGCGCGGGCTTGTCGACAATCGTCAGTAAGGACTTATTATCGATAAGTCTCCTCTCTACGTCGGCGTGCGACAGAGCCAAGAGCCGCTGGTGGGATGAGGATGCTGGGTCTTGGTTCACTGTCACTGATGACTGGACGAGATGATACAGTTTTAATTGTTTGGTAAAAGTATGAAATAGAAATTTTTGTTTGTTTTTATATTACAATACAGCTAATTAATTGTGACATAGTTTAGAGTTTAAGCCATAAAACCAAATCAACTTCACGATATAAAGGCATAGCGAAGTAAAATGTAATGCAAGATATATGTATTTATATGGCTCATGTAAATAGTTATAATGTGCATAATTCGAACCCACTACACACACTCTAATGACAACACTCATACCACTACGCTATTCGTCGATTGTAAAACGTACAAAAAAACATATTCTTAAAATTCCCCTAGATCATGTCCTGGAGATGAGATATTGGTCAAAAATTACCTATATGGTTATTAAAACTCGGTCGATAACATAATCTTACCAGTTCCTCCAGCTTGTGCAAGGCTTGCTTGTACACCTCCACGTGCCGCTGCAGCTCGTTCTTCAACGCCACGTGCAGGGAGATCAGCGACCCTGACGCGTCCGCCGTCAACCCATGGGTTCCCAGACCTGAGAATATATTCTATTATAGATTGTTCGCAATAAATTATTTTACATTTTTAGTTGATAGGAAAAATTATCGAAAATTAACTAACAATAATAACTATGTAGGTAAATATAGAATCACATAGACCCCTAATAATAATAATTACAGATTAACTAATGCGTCTAGTTTAAATTGACAGCAGTACAAAGTATGATATACGAGTAGGAGGTTAATTTCTCGTTGATGTTTAAAAAACTGCTACTGATATTACGGTCCTTTGAAATAATAAAATTACAACACTTTATTTAATATACGTAATTCTAGAAAACACATGTATGTATTATATTTTAGCAATTTGGAATAAATGTCCCGGTCAGTATCCATTTATTAATAACAAATAATAACAAAAAGATGCAAAAATTGTGTAGAGTCAATAAAACATTTAAATTGTAGAAAATAAATCACCTTACTATATAAATTTTTATGGTATTTTAAATACAGTTTAAGTAGATATATCAATAAAGCATATAACTCTTCATTAAAATCCAATACTGGCTGACAGGCAATATACATAATACTTTCTTAGATTTACACGAATATTTGACATTTTAAATAAAACTATCTTTTCGGATTATTTCGCGGATCTATTTTAATGACCTTTGAGACGTCTAAAACCTTAGTCTCTCCCGTGACCACGATTGCTTTAAAGCATTCGAAACGTCAGGAACCAACAATTGAAATAAATCCACGAAAAAATCCGTAAAGATAGTTTTATTTAAAAGGCAACATACAGTCTAAGTCGCTGGCTTAAGATTTCTAAAAGCATGAAATTTTGAACAATAGTTTCTTATGTAACAAAAGTGAGCGTTCACTGCTAATGTACATGCAAAGCTAAACAACAACACTTTTCAATCCTTATCTGGTACCATTCCTGAAATTTCTAAAGTAACAAAGTCTGAGATAATCATCGAAGGAAATCTTGCTATTATGACGTATCCTATATTGTGCTTCATTTATACGAAGGAAATTATAAGTTAGCATCACTTCCACGCGTTCTGCTTATTATATTAACGAACCTCATTTTTGGCCTTCGAAGTAAAACAAACATAAAAACCGCTACCTTGATTTTAATTACCTATAAACTTGTGCACCGTGAAATGCCGACATAATGGTTATTCCATAAATTTATCCAAACACGTTTTTTTATCAATTGAATTAGTATTTGTTAAATATTGATCAATTGATAAATTTTTATTTAATAAATAATTATTGTTATATATGTAATATCAAAAACACGAATCTTAAATGGGACATAGAAAAATATCGAGAGTAATCATCTAATACATGAACTAAGGAACTATATGCTAAATAGATTCGCTTTAATTTTAGCCTCACTCAATACTATAAATGTGCAAAAATGCAATATCGGAACGAAATGATGACTGCGTAAGTGTATTATAATAATGTAAAACCAATATAGCAGAAACATGACCTAAAAATTATTTAGAACAATTTCATTATTATTTCATAATTTTTTTCATAATAATTAATATTGCTACTTTCTGTTTTATTAAAAACAAAGCCATTTTATTTCATAAAAACTGAATCTTTAATGACAATTTCGACACTTCTACAGAAAGTTCGCACAATTGCATACAATATGTACATTGTGTGATGCAAAAGCCCAATTATTTTAACACTGGCACGTCCCAAGGTTTACAGTATTGACCAACACTAAAGTATTGCTTCAAATATTTTAGAAGCGTTAATTGTAATTCCTTAGAACAACCCACGCGATCCATCTTGTTTTTGAAGCATTTTGAAATACCTCCTACACCTATTTATTTTATCTATGCAAGCGTAAAACAATTCTGAACTAAAAATATATCATAAAAATAAAAACCCGACTGCATAAAAGCTTACTAAAAAGATTAAAACAAGTTGACGAAGGAATATAGTTTTACGCAGTCAGAGACATCAGATGTACATCTCGCAAGCATGAAGGGTTTTTTTTTATTTTTATAATATATATTTTTATTTACAGCTTTTTAGTTTTTGCCAATTAGACATTTGAAGTTATATTTAGCAATTTTTTTATGCTAAATTACTTTTAAACATATAAGTTGTATATATTTTTGTGATCACCTTTGCGTTGCGCAGTCGGATAAAAGAAACCAATTAGGTGGCTTATTATCCGCTATTGGTAACAAGATCGATATTCTTACATGGTCTTATTATATTTTTATCACTGTTTTTAGCATTAAGCAAATAAAATATTATGAACCCAGTCTTGTATTAGTATATAAGAGTATATAACCTATAAAATAGATTTTTCACAGATAAAATAAAGTCACAGAACGCTGCTACATATGACGAAATATTACATGTAAACTTCAATGTAGGCTTTATGTGAAGAAAGAAATTGTAATTTGCACTGTCCTCTCTGGCAACTTCATATAAAGAATTACATGATAATGAAAAATTAGCACCATCTTGGGCCAACAAACTTGCCATGTGGTGTAACATAATAAAGAAACTTACCTTGAACAGCCGTGTCGAGCTGCCGTCTTCTGCTATCCACAGCATCTCTGGCATCTGGGCTGTAATGCGCTAGAGCCTGGGCCAGGCGGGCTGTCCGGACCCTGAGGCCGGACCCCTGGTCGCCCCCAAGGAGACCGACGAGACGCCACGCGACCGTCTCACATTGCAACTCCGGGCGAGGTGTGATTTCTAAGGATATCAGCCTGGGAAAATATTTCTATATCAGACCATTGAACTTTCTCTATTATCTAACAATTATTCATTCATATTTATCAAACAATAAAGTGAAGGTTTGTATTTGTTTTGCAAAACGACATTTGGGAAAAATTTCATCATATTCCTATGTAATTGAATTAATTCGCGAGAGCTGTTGTCAACCGCATATTATATCTACTCATACGACATTTTTTACAAACAATTATAGACATAAACTATTCTTTCAGCGCTTCTTTCGCCAGTTTTTCTCAGCGTAAGACCTTTTTTCCGAACCGTGGTACACTCCTGACGATAACTCATTCAGTAATAAAAATTAATAATTATTTAAAGCATAATAAAATATAGTGAATTTATACCTACTTGAACATTTGATTTATTTTCGCTATTAAAAACCACTAAGTTGACACCAATGAGCTGAGTTAAAGAACATTTCGATTGGCTCTTTTAATTTTATCCATTTTAATATTACAAATGTAATTCTGTATGTCTGTTATTTTCACGCTTAAATCGCTGAACATATTTCGATGAAATTTACCCCCGCCGATTCGATTTTCCATGCCAGAGGAGTTATGTGTAAAATATATCTTGCTATAATTGCACTACACTTAGGCTAAAGTATTTACTTCACCTACCTACTTACATGGCGTAAAATTAATTAATAAGATATCATCTGTGTAATCTCGTTTACATTATTGAACATTTCAACGAGGTTTTTTATCATAACTAATAAGTAATAACTTATTTTACAAACTTAACTTTATTTTCTAAAAGCTGAAAATCTTTTACGTTCCTTACGTATTTCAATAAAATCGAAAGTAAAAACTGAATATTTGTGAATGTTTACTTTTTTGAAACATTCGTTATTACGATGGAAGGTCTTAAGTAGCAAATTAATAGCAGCAATATTATAGAGCACCTCTTTCTCCTTCCTTCCACCTCTCTACTCCTTTCACTCTCAAACTCCGATAAAATACAATTCAACACAACCGGCGAGAAATCTGTGATGTTACTGACAATTTTTGAACAAAAAAAACAATAACTATACTTGGCCCGCCCCGAAACTCGAACTCAGAACCTCCTGATCTGCTCGCCACTATGCCAACGAACCCTATTATTACAATGTAGTCCCGCACATTAATTTGTCAATTATATTATTAGTGAAACATTTTTTGGGACGATTCAGGTATACTGGAGTTCACGTTCTCCATTCAAACTAACAAACTTTGCCTCTATATATTCATATATCTAAGAAAAGAAATAACATCTCGTCTTATCACCTCTACGGGTGACAAGAGAGCTAGCTCATTTTTCGCCCAAAGAATCGGTATTGCCATTCAATGGATTGCGGCTAGCATTCTTGCCATCAATCCACGCGGACAGGTCTTGTACAGTAATAATTAATTGTGCATTTGTTTTGTATATATAATTGAGTATACTTGTCATTTTCTTTATCTATACATATAATAAAATTCTTATAAACCTTAAATATTTTATTGAAAAATCTTATTGAAATCGTCATTATTATCGATACAGATGCGTCGGCGATCTATAGTTTTTAGAATTATTGTATCAGTCTGTCGGTCTGTCTGTCTGTCTGTCTGTCTGTCTGGGAACGCATCACGAAAAAACTACTGGACTAATATTGATGAAATTTGGTATGATGATAGCTGGTTATCCGAGTCAACATATAGGATACTTTTTACTCCGAGAAAAATCTCAACCTCGAAAAATCAAACTAAACATTAAAACGTAACTAAAGACGAACCCGAGCAGAGCGAGGGTGAGTCGTTAATTTAAAATAAATTTATTCGTGTATTATGTAAATAAACATATTCACATTCACTTCTTCTTTCATATAATTATGTATCTCGGATTAATTAACCGTTTTTGGTAAGTTGGTCATTCTGCCGAAATACTTTCCGATCGGAACAAGTTTTGGACCAGACAGCCCGGTACCTGTTCACTTTCTCCGATCAAGCCCTTGTGTGACGAAAACGTTATTCAGGCATCTTATCTCTTATTAGGTAATGTATTTGAAGTTGAATCATATGAGTTCCCTTAACCGCTTTGGTATCGTACGTTAAAAAACATTAAATTTTCATTTATTAAGCTCAAACTTCACAAGTTTAGACTAAGCTCAAATAACACGTAGCTAAGTATTTTTAAACCAAATGAGCTTATTTGGTATAGGATTTTCGTTTCTCTGGAGAAATAACAATTTTATTCTTGGACCGACTAAAAAATACTCAATACGGGTGTACGTACTATAATATGTATATTTTGACGACACGTTTGGCTCTCGTTTGTAGTGGCCGTACTCGCTGTGCTAAGGATCCCGGATTCAAGTCCCACTGGGGTCATTAACTTGTGTGATGAGCTCGAATATTTGTACCAGTCATAGGTATTTATATTTGTAATATGTATGTATTTAAAGTTATAAATGTTTAGTGTAGCAACTATCTGGTATCCATAACACAAGTCTCGTAGCTTATCTTGGAACCAGATGATGCAAGATATTTATTTATTTTCCAAACCCCAAAATTTACTTCAAAATTACAAGTCATTCATTTATAACACCTCCAGGTAAATTTCTAAGAAATTAATAAAAATTCTAATGGCCGATTTCACCAACGTCACCTAAGTTTAAGGGATCCCCTAAGCATGTTTAGGGGGCTGTTAGGGGACAGTTTCTGTTTCACCGACAGTTAGGGGTCACCTAAAAATAAAAAATAATAATAAGATGCCACCTAAATATAGGTACTAGAAATACACGCTCGGACGATGGTAAAACGAAATTTAATTTAGGGGCTAGTTTAGGGGACTTTTAAGCTAGGGATCCCATACGTAGGTGGTAGCTTATGGGTTGTTGGTGAAATCGGGCATAAGAAATCTATTATAAACTGACACGCCGGCGTGTCCGCAGTCGTGGAGGGATTAATGATACGATAGGATTAAACAGAAAGACACATTTATCCTATAATATAGGTTTTCATTTTATTCTTATAAAATAAGGAACCGTAAAACACAAGAACGAGTACGTCAAATAAAAGTTTACTTCGGTAAGTTAAGCACGGAAATAAGTACTTATGAATCCATTTATATGGAAGATGTAATTTATGAAACGCTACGTTATACAATGTTGCATCGCGTGTCCGTGCCGGCGAAGTTCAAAGATCAAAGATCGACTTTACAACTAAGGTTTTATTGAATGAAATATATTGTATGGGCTATAGAATGAATCACTGTCCTTAATAATATTATAATGCGAAAATGTTGACTTATTGTAATGTTGATTTTATTAATAAAGCATCGAAGCTAAAAAATATTGACGAAAATTGATATTTTGTAACTCGGAAGGTGGCATATAAGGTTTCTATCACGACCGTAAGTTCGTTCTCGTGAGATACACATAGACTTTGCTATAAATGCCATTACACATTTATTACTAAAAATAACATCATTTATTCGTTTTCGTTTGAATCCTATGGGCTTAGAATTGAGGTTTTTTACATCCGTCATCGCTACTAGAAACTTTATAATGTCTGGTAATGACATTCTCAGCGTTATAAATAGCGAGCATCAAAATCGATTTAGCAGTTTACTCGTGAGAAAGTGACGGTAACAGAAACACTTTTACATGTATATTGTATGGTAAAGATTAATTTCTTTATTTACAAAAAGTTATTTAAGAATTTATCGACAGTGCGATGACTCGGAAGTCAGGACACGGAGGTACTTTCAATAACAGGTTATTTTGACATTTTACTACAATTCAATAAAATAAAAAGCATTACACATAACTCCGTCACGCTTTAATTTCGTAAGTAAGCATTTCTTTTAAACCTTCTCCATTAAACAGAGATATGTATTTGTAGGAAAACTAGCATTGCCCACGGCTCTGCCCGCGTTCAGATAACCAAAAACCAAAAACCAAATTCATACCAAATTTCATCAAAATCCCTCCAGTGGTTTTTCTGTGATGCGGTAACAGACAGACAGACTAACAAAAATTCTAAAAACTATATATTCGGCCTCTGTATCGATAATAATGTCTATTTCAAAAAGATTTTCTAAAAAATATTTAATGTACAGATTCGACTTAGTTACAATTTTGTTATATGTATATATGTAGTAGTAGTAGTATTCAGCCGTCCCACTGTTGGTGGTGGGCCTCCCTCCAATATATGGGGCATCAGGCCATAGTCCACCACGCTGCCCAAGTGCGGGTTGGCGGACTTCACGTCTTTCAAAAACTCTCAGACATGCATGTTTCCTTACAATGTTTTTCCTTCACCACAGGGCAGGCAGTGGTAACTGGTAATCATGTTAGAAATGATTCGCACATAAAAATATCAGAGGTGCGAGACCCGGGATTTGAACCCACTTCACTCGGTTTCCCAAGCGATCGCGTTACCACTGGGCTACCACTGCCGTGTTATATAAGAATTTATGTTAGTACATAGAGCTTCAAATCGAGGAGAAATGTTCTATTTCATAAAAGAGTACCGTCACAAGCAAAAACTATAAATCCGATACAACGAATCGTTTAATTGATTTATGACCATATATTTCTTACATCGAGAAAGTCGACACACACAACCGGTCGGGAGCACTTTCATCATCCTATCTATTAATACTCAATCATTAATCAAAAATAAACTTTATTTTGTTAAAATTAAAGCTTTATTTCCTTTGCTTTGTTTTTGCAACAGGTGTTTTAAAAATGATCTTAATTTAGTCCTTATGTTTATATCTATAAAGTGTAATATCGTTTGTTTGTTGTTATTTGATTCTTTTTAGGTTTCCTAGGTGAACTACCCAGTCTATTAATTTCAAAGCATCTCTATTGGACTGTCGCTTTCTTTATTAAATTACATATGTATAAGCGATGTGTGTTGTGGAATTATTGATATAAAATAATAGTTAGTACTTATGCATTGTAATAATATTTTTCTCAGAATTAATCTATCATCATGAATTTTTATATTGTTATATATATTCTCATCGGTCCTTGTTAAATGTACAAGTTTTCAGCTCAATATGAGGTTTTAAAGTAATTTACGGGTGAAGCTAATAAAAGCATATAATTAATTATATTCTTAATAAATCGCGCGAATAATTATTTTCTTTTTAACTCGACTTGAACTTGAAGTTAATATTTATGTAATAAGGAACTTCGATCCTATCTGATGTCTCACGACACCATTTTATAATTTATTGTAAATACAACATACATCTATACATATAATAAAATTGTAACCAAGCCGAATCTGTACATTAAATATTTCTTTGAAAATCTTATTGAAATAAACACTATTATCGATACAGAGGCCGAATCTATAGTTTTTAGATATTTTTTCTGTCTGTCTGTCTGTTACCGCATCACGGAAAAACCACTGGAAGGATTTTCATGTTTAGTATGGTGATAGCTGGTTATCCGGGTCAACATAAAGGATACTTTTTACAACATTAGGATACGAACCCGAGCGGAGCAAGGGTGAATCACTAGTTCTGTAATATTGTTTGATTCCCTAAAATAAATAAAAATGAAATCGAAAAAAAAGACTACACAGTTTGACATAAAGCAGTAAAATGTATTTTAATAAAAAGACACTTAAAGACGAATCCGAGCGAAGCAAGTTAAAGTCGCTAGTAATACAATAGTTAATAAGAAAACAATAATGATACCTTAAAATTAAAAAATCCGAGAAAAAACTATTTTAATTATAATATGAAATATTCGCGTAAATCTAAGAAAAAGATATAAATCCCCATCGCTCTTTTACTTGATTTTCTTGTATAATTAATTCTGTTGTAAAAAATATAATAATTGAACATTATCGCTACTATATGCTCTCATTAACATCTCGATAAGCATATCTACAGTAAGAACGTGTGAAAAACGCGTATTGGAAAAAAGTAATTTATCTTGACAGTGAAAATCCAGTTACTGTTTACGAGGTAACGGCATTGCGACGTTGTATGAACATCAAAACATTGTTAATTTAATGGTTGGCTTTATCAATGTCGTTTTTATTATAAATTTAATAATGTTCTAAAAAAGTTAATATTCTAACGGTTAAATCACGTAAACTTATATTACAGAGTATTTGGATATAGGAGATACCTAATATCCAAAGATATTCCTTTGATTTCAAAAACTACCACTTTAGGTATGATACACTTTCAATCAATCAAACAAAAAACAAAGAAAGAATATTGTATATTATATTACATAATTTATAGCAGGTATAGTATAAAGGCTTCTTTAATTCTCGTTTTATAAAAATCTTACCTATTTAAAAGTGTCTCAATAAGATGAGCAGAGTGAGGTAGAGCTTCCACTAATAAATCTACAGGCAACTCTGTAGCCACCGTCTGTAGAACCCCGGGCCCGAGTCGGGAGACGATAGCCGCGGCCTCTCTAAACTGACGGCCTTCAGCCAATAGCAGCACTCGACGCAACGCTAGACGAGGAGAGGTATATGTGTTCTTCTCTCTCTCCCTCTCACGTCTAATTCGTTCTCGACTCTCGTTCATTTTCGAATACCCTTGATAGGGCTAGCCCATTATTTAGCTGACAGTTGGTGGAATCTGTAACAATATTAGGATTATTGATAGAGAATTCTAAGTACATATTTATAAAAATAACATAAATAAAATTGTACAGACTGGAACAAACGGATGAGATATGAACGAAAAGTAGCTTAAATATTGACGTTATCAAATTTTACTCAAAAGAAATATTGCTTCATTTAAAAAAAAATAACAGCATTAAATTGTTTAACTTTATTGCATTTTTATTTGAATGTTTTATTTTACTGTTTTTTTAGTTGGTTTGACTACAAGTTTAGATAAGCTTTTAAAAAAAACCATGTCCCATCCGTTTGTCATCCATACATTCCACCTATATAGGGGAGGAATTCTCTAAAAAAAAATCTCAATAAAAAAAAAGTAAAAATCTCAATAATTAACCATTACAAAAAAGCAATCAAACAGTATTATAAATATAAAATATCTAGAGTTTTGAATGTAAGAAGAAAACGCATAGAAATAATAGAAAAGAAAGTAAATATTGAAATTATGTAGAAAATAGAATAAAAGTGGATACGAAACATATGCAAAGAACTCTAATTACAAATGTTTGACAATTTTTTAATTTGCCGTTGAATGATTATTAAGCACTTTAACTGCCTCGGCGGTCTAGTGGCTAGCATATACGGCTGCGGATGCTGAGGTCCTGGGTTCGAGTCCCGGGTCGGGCCAAGTTTGGTCACTGAGGTTGGCCGCCGTGGCCAAAATCAATCAGGATGACATTAAGCACTTTAATCTTTAATGCAGTGTGTCGAAATTTGGCAAAAATGTAAATTTATAATTTTTAGTTAATTTAATTTCTTGGGGTATACCTACCTAATGTATTTTTCGTATGTCAAGAGCTAGTTAAATAAAAGACAGAAATTTTCTAAATCTATGTTTTTGTATGTTAATTGCGTTCTAGTAAAGTGATGATAGCATCAGCTACTGTAATAAAATTACGAGTTTACAGTTTTTTTACTTGGGTTCAAAGAAAACAGTGCCGCATATTAAAATTAATCTCAAGATCTTAACAGATCTTAAATGACCTATAAAATCCACATAATTATAATGTTTTTGAAGGTTTTCTTTCAAAATCTTAATAAATGACTATGAATTATTTAATTAACTATAAGTATTAATGTTTTTTTTTCAAAAACAACCCTGCAACATGAGACAGCTGTTATGCCACAATTTAACCAACGCGAGTAATAAAAATATAAGTGATACTGATAAATATTAATAATGTAATAAAAACATCAGTCTTCTAACAGTAGAAAGCCGCTTTAAAATCTCCTGATTACTTTATAAAGTCTTAAATAGGAATAGATGTAGTCTAGGCTGTATGCATTTATTTCCATACCTATTAAAACGTAAAAGAAAGAAAAATATTTTTAATCACAACATTATTAACGCTTACACCGATACGGTCTTTAAACCGTTTCCATAAATCGTAATGAGATCACAAAAGTGATAGACTCGTAATATTTCTCACAGCGCGACAGTTAGTGTTTGTGCGCCTGCTCCCATGCCACACATTAGCTTAACGGGATTGCACGAGAATTGTTCACTCTTCATTTTTTATCTCACATTTCATTATAAGATCCAAATCTGTTTAAAAATAATACTTTTTGTTTTAACAAAACGTGAATACATAATAGTCTTACAAAATTAGAGTCAGAGAAAAAGAGAGAAAAAAAGAAAGAAAGACAGTAGTAATACATAGTATATATGTATGTATCAGCAATAAATTATATGATTTCCATACATAGGGAATAAGAAGACGGATGAATGGATGCAACCGGTACAGACTTAACCGACTGTATATTTCTCATAAGACATATTCGCCTCTTTAGGGCTTAATGACACAATTGTCTATTTGTTAGTCTAATAATTTTAAAATACGTTTTGTGTTCATTGTAGGTATATTTCGAATTCTTCAATTATATATTAGTAATCGTGAAAATCCATATAGGTAATTTAAAGTCAAACTGTATTTATGTAAACACAATGATACTTACATAATTGAAATGGTAAACGTATCACTCAATATAATATTTTAATTTTATTATTTATTTACTTTTTTCAAATATTAATATCAACTTCGATGACACTTCTGAGTTTTGACAATCACGTTTCATATTTTCGCGCCAAAACTGTTTTTTTTTATTCTTATTAGTTTTAAATGCATATGTTATATAACTTACAGCCAGATAATACCTGACTTAAATTTTGTAATTAAAAATATTCTTCGTTGTTATTGGACATAACAACGCTCATCCAGCCGTTATCGAACATTATTAAAATAATGTTACAATATCCGCTTTGCCATAATTTCTTTTGCGTTTTTTCATTTATTTTTTATATTTTTAGTTGAAGATTATGATTGCATACTAATTAAACGTTCTCGTTTATATAAATTATGTTAAACAATTAACAGAAACATGTTTTTAGATTGAATAAGATTTAAAAAATAATTATCTTTTATGTCATTTATTATAGAAATATAACAATAAAAATCTTTTTTTCTATTTAAAGTTAAATATCATATTTTAATCAATAAAAGAACCAAATTTAAGCGCGGGAAAAGGTATAGTTAATTATTATGCCGTTCTTGACAGAAGTGACAAGTGACAACTATAATCAAGTGTCACTTGACCTTAAAACTTTTGCTAACGAGTAACGGACGTTACCAGACGGTATCTCATCATAACAATCATGATCTAACAAAATGATCAATAATGATCTACCAACAATAGATAATACATCTAGACACATATGAAAATGCAATAGTCAACATTTTTTTGTATCCGTGGTATTATTTTTAAGTATTTGAAAGTTTGTCGACCGTATGGTGTAGTGTAATGTATGTTCGACTACCATTTAGGCTATAATGCAATGAGACGGTAGATTAAATTATCTAAAGAAGATGCGACTCAATTTCATTGTATTCTTGGTCGTATCAAACTTTCCCTTATAATGTAATAAAAGTAAACTAATATATTCCTATAATGGCTGCAGTTTAGTATATGGGACGCGGCCCCTGTAGGAGTAGGTGGTATTTTTGGATAGGGGAGGTAATAGAAACTTCAAATATATAAAAATTATTTTGAGGAAACATAGGAGTAAAAAGTTACTGAGACTTAAAGTTACAACATTTCCATACATATCCATACATTTCGTTACCAACTGGCGGAGTGGGTGTATTTGACTGAAGACATGTACATATGTACATGTCTTTAAAATATAAGAGAGTTATATAATGTAAGGTACTCGCAATAATTATTTACCTATAGATAGTTTTACTTATAGGATAATCGTTGCATAAGCTATTTCCATTCCGAATTTTCCTAACTTTCATTGAGCCATTAGATACAGCACCAAATATGTAGCAAACACACAATTTTTTACATCGATGATATTAGTATAATAATAACGTGCATTAACCGCTTAATATTTTACATATTTTACGGAATGACTGTCAAAAATTAAGCAAGCAAAGCACCGTTAACCTAACACCCACATTCGAAGCATAAGCTAATCTAGTAGCTAGCCCGCGCTTCGCTCGGATTCGTGTATATTGAAAAACAAAAACAAATCTATCCCACGGAAACCGTACATTTTCCGGAGGATAAAAAGTAACCTGTGTGCTATTCCAGACAGGCGCGGATCCAGAGTTAAATTTTGGGGGGGGGGGTCATTGGCTGAAATATACATATAATAAAACAGTAACTTTAAAAAAACAATTGAGACTAGGCGCAGATCTATATTTAAATTTGGAACTTTGAGGTTATTGTAATAGTCGTAGATTTTTACTAGACCTACAACTTTTGTAGAGAATATTTTTCGATAAGATATCACAACAAGCCAGAAATTGAAAAAAAAACAATTTTTAATGGTTTGCTATACTTGACTTGTTTGCTATAAACGTTTTGTAAAATAAAACTTCTGGTTTTAATTTTTTGTGTAGCACATCGCGATCGGACTATTTGTATAGCGCTATTTAAATTAAAGAAAAACTTAATAACGAATAAAAACTTAATTTGTTTCGAATTAGGTACTTAAAAAAATTGTATTATTCCTTCTTTTCTTAGACTTCAAACTTCTCAAAAAAGTATACTTGGCTTTGGGGGGAGGGGGGTCATGACCCCCATGACCCCCCCCCCCCCTGGATCCGCGCTTGATTCAAGACTATAATCTATCTTTGTGGCAAATTTCATCCAGATCATTTCAATCGTTCTGGCGTGATTAAATAACAAACATTTATCCAAACTTTCACATTTATAATACTAGCGACTCACTCTCGCATCGCTTCGGGTTCGTCCCTAGACAAAAATAAATCTAACCCACGGGAACCATACATTTTTCCAGAATAAAACTAATCTATGTGCTTATTCCAGATTAATCTATCTCTCTGCCAAATTTCATCCAAATTCGTTCAGCCGTCCATCCATCATCATCGTCCTCACAAACTTTCACATTTATAATATTCGTATTTATAATAAATATAAAATGCATTAAAAGTCGTAACAGCACGTTTTTTATAAAATTATAAGTAAGATCGTTTCATAATTTTTCTATTACATTATAAATACGTGAGATGTAGGAGTTAGATGGGAATTACAGCTACAGAGGACAAAAACGTACAATCTCCAATAGAGTCAAACCATTCATTCTTTACTTCAATACTCGTAATAACAGATACAGTTAGACATAACATTGGATTTTTTGTGATGACTCGATTTATAAGTAGCTCCTCTGTGACTTTATCTGCGTAACCCTGTTATTATTACAGTTAATGTTGAGAAATTTCGTTTGTGGTAAAGATTATATTATAAACTAGTACTCACCCTCACTTCGCTCGGGTTCGTCCCTAGGTACGTTTTAACGGTTAGTATAGTTTACTCAGAGATGAGATATTTTCCCGCAGTAAAAAGTATTCTATTTATATGTCTACAGGATAACCA